GGGAGGGAGGCAGAAGAGATGCATAAGAGAGGCGGTGAAGAGAGGCGATGAAGAGAGAGAGAGAGAGTAAGGTGGCAAATTATGATTAGCAAAGGCGAAAACGGAAAGCAATAACATTTGCGATTTCAATTTGCCCTCGTTCTACTTATTCACCTGCTGCTGAGCGGTGCCGGCGTGGCACATCAGGCTAATAGAAACGAAAAGAAACCGGAACTTGGGACCTCTACCTCCACCTTACTTTGTCAAAATCAGCTCACACGACTATAATTAACTATATCCTTGACATAATTATGTCCGATTTAACTGCTATTGAATAAGTCCGCGCTGCGCTGTTTTTGGTCATGGCTGCGCCGCGTCAGCCCTCTACGCAGATAGAGGTTTACGGTCCACGGGGCTTAAAACTGTCGTTTTCTGAAACAGGTCAAGAATGTCAGTAGTTAGGTGGTCAGTTGTGAGTTACCCCGCAAAAATGCTCGCCAGTAAAAGTCATTCGTCCCCCAATCCCATCAGACTTTTAATATGCTTTTTTTATCTTCGAAAGAATTTATTTGCTTACCGTCTTTAGGAGATTAATTTTTTTGAAGCTTCCTGAAAGTTATGCATCATACCTGAAGGCGGGAAAATAGTTTTTACGCTGTCGTAATATTTGAGTTGAATGTGCTTAGCTTTTCGATGATCTAATACATATTTTCCGATAACTTCTACTTTACTAACCTGTGTTTGTTGTTGTTGTTGGCTTTGTTGTTGTTGTTGCTGTTGCTCCTGCTCCTCCTCTTGCTGCTGCTGTTGCTGTTGTTGTTGCAGTTGCTGTTGTTGTTGCAGTTGCTGCTGCAGCTGCAGTTGCTGCTGTTGTTGTTGCTGCAGCTGCTGCTCCTCCTGCTGGCGCAGCGCCGCCACCGCCTTGCTGCCCATGGCGAACTGCGCCGTGGTCACGGCCTGGCCGTGGTTCGTCGTGTACGACACGATGGGGTGGTAGCCCCAGCTGTCGGTGATGTAGCTCACGGACTGCTGCAGCGAGGTGGGCCCCAGCGGCGAGGCCATGGCGCCGTGGCCCATGGGCACGCTCACGAAGTAGCCGCCCAGCGTGTGCGGGCCCTCGCGGCTCTCCACGCGGCCCGAGTGCGCGCCCAGCCCGTCCAGCACCGAGTACTCGTACTTGTACTTGGACGAGTCCTGCAACAACAAAAGGCCGAGCCGGGGGGTCAGCAAAGGACACGTTCAAAAACATCTCTCTATAGAGAGAGTGAGGAAGGCGAAGGGGCTTTTGCCCTCTGGTAGAGACTGTCCAAAAATACATTTTTCAGTTTGTTTCCTAAAAGAAAGAAACAGTAACGAAAACAGGAAACAGCACAAATAAATAACCCATATGGAATTTCTGACTCTCTCCCTGCAGTACACTGAGATAGCTTTCTGTCAATGGCAATAATTTAGCTTGGACGGGAGGCCCACAGCGGAAGGAGCAGCCCCAGTGCCCCGGTGCATCCGTGCATCCCTCAGGCAATCAGCATGGTAATTAAGCGCGCTGTGACACTCGCGTGCTAATAGCAACGTCGAACACATCGTTAGGAAGGAGGCGCGTCCGTGGGGAACTGATAGGAAGGGAGGGGTGGGGGGGGCGCGGGCGAATGGGGAAAGGGGGTGGCACCACACTACACCGGGAGGCGGCCAGGGAGAGGGAGGAGGGGGCGCCAGGCGCGCAGGAGGGGGAGCAGGGGCACCTACATCTTGTAATGGGCTGGCAAACAAATAAGGTGTGCGAGTTGCGCAAACAGCACTAATAGTCTGCTGCCCCGATCTCGCGGCGCGCAAGCGCACACAAACACACACACGTGCACACGTACTACACTGCTCACGTGAGCAAACTGTTCATGGCAGAGCGGCATATAAGTTATTGCTCAGAGGGACCTGTCGTATGACCGCATTTTTATTTTATATCATCTTTAACGTTATTTTATAATAGATGTGATTCCATACTCCTTCTGCTGATTGCGGAAAAACAAATCTTCGACGAGGACTTTCGACATCCATTTGCAATGAAAGCTCGACACTCTGTGCCATAAAAGCGGTAGTAAAACTAGTTGAAGAAGCAATGCAAGTCCCTGCAGAAGTATGAAATAATTTAGGGAATTCTTACTCTTTACAACCCGTTTGCTGTGTGTGAAAACTTCACATGACGAGACAACAAAACAAATAGGTTCTTCCGCACTGAGAGTGTAAATGAAAGATGACCCACAAAAGTACAATCCCCTTACGAAACCCCTGGGTGGATGGCTCCAAGTGCACAATGCCAGCTGAGACTTTTTCTACCTGGTACTGCCTTATTTTTATTATCATTACTCCTATTACTTTTGGGAGCACGAAAGTAAAAAGGGGGAGGGGGGAGTAGTGTCCACAGAGATGACAAGGAGCAGCAAGAAAAGTGATTTTAAAAAACGCGTTTTCTTGGTGTCGGACCGAACTCACTGCCGCTGTCGTGGCCTCGTGCACCATGGTCAAGCTGGGAGAGGCGTGCGGATGGCCCGGATGGCCGCAACACGACTCGCGCGGTAACGTCCTCCGGGTAGGATTATACAGAGAGGGCAAAAACTATACAGAAATTACCCAGATTCACGTCATTTCATTTTACTTTTTCTTTTTTTGGTTATGTCAAGGAAGCGTTAGAGCAAGATCAGCAGCAGCAGCGGGGGTTGGAGAAAGGCGCCGGGCGGGAGGCATGCGGCAGCTCCACGGAGAAGGACAAGGAGAGCTGATCATTGCTGCACTATTTATAGGGCGAAAGCCCTCGCGGCCGCGTCCCTCTCAGAGTGCCTGCGCCTGCGCCGGTGCCTACCCCTCTCCTCTCTCCTCCTCCCACTCTCTGGCTGCTGCCTCTCATCAGAGGGCTTAGCGGACGGTTGACGGCCTCCCGATCGGCTGTCCCCGCTTGTCGGCGTGGCGGGGCGTGGCGGGGCGTGGCGGGGAGGGGCGTTGCGGGGGTGTTGCCGATATATATCTGTATGTAATAGGCTGGAGGACGAGACGGGAAAGTGATGCCTGCCGCCCGCCCGCGCCGCTCAGCCACTCCAAACAACTTTCACTCCCCATGCATAAATATACGTAGGCGTTACTTTTTGAACCCGGTTTGGTTTTCGCAGAGTCGCATTACGGGTCTCCGTTTTGTTGTTCGGCCAATAACGTGGCTCCGCGCAGCGCCGCCGCAGCCAGGAGAGTCGGCAGTGACAGCGGCTGCTGCTGCGGCGCGTCACAGGCAGGCGTACCCGGCCCGACCTGGTCGCGCCGCAGAGTCCACTGCGGGAAAAAAAACAACGCGCAAACCCTGTGTGGGACCCACGCGAGCAGGCACCTTCCGCTCAAGTTCATTTGGGTTAGGTTAGGTAAGGTTAGGTTAGGTTAGGGGACTTAGCACAAAATGAATAGCAGTCTTTGGAATTAAGTAGTGGAGGTGACGGCAAAATAAGTAAACCTGTAGTAACCGTGCGCTTGCATGGTGGCGCTCTATTTGCTTTTGGGCCGTGATACCTTAGTCAGTCGGTATGACTCCCACTTCCATTGTAACATGCAAGTCGGTCGGAGCCCGCCAAAACATAAAACGTTCTGTCTGATGGGCGTGCGCGTTCCCCAGACCCATAACGCTTCAAAATGTTGCCCGTGCGCCCGGCCGCTCCCCCAACAGGTAGGTGCCGTTGTCATCGGAAATTGTGTGTACATTACACACGACGGCGCAGCGACGAGACGGTAAAATCGCACGAAAGACAGACTGACGTAACTCGCGGCGGCGGGAAAGCCAAGTCCGCATTCGCGGAGCAGGGTGGCGGCCGGGTGGCGGGGCCCCGCGCGTGGGACTGGTCCTGGGCGGCATGCGCCCGTGGTGGTCAGACAATGCGCGGCTCCCGGCGCGTTACCGGTGGTGGCAGCCGGGAGGCGCCGAGGGCCGATGGTCATCTGCGCCGCGTGTACCTGGGGGAGTTAGGGGGCCGGGAGTAAATGCCGGCGCCGCTGCCGGGGTTCGCGCGGACCGGCCATCTGCGCTGGGCCGCTTGTGTGATCCCCTCTGGCTGAAAATGCCCATCCGCGCCGGCTGTGATGTTGGTTGCCTATTCGTAATATTGCGGGCGCCGTGCACCGGCCGGCATGTGCGGGTAAAGATACTGCCAATGCAGCGTTGCACTTCGCTTTGCTTTAATATACAATGAGGCAAACCCAAACTAACAAACCTAATTTAATACAGCAGATCAGTAAAGATACTGCCAATG